GCTCCCACGCGCCCCCGCCACTGCGGAGGCGGCACTGTGAGAGCGGCGCCCTCGTCCCCCTCTGGGGCATGGGCGGCCGCCCCCCTCAAACAAAACTCAAAAGAACTCAGGAAGGCTAGACCGAGGGGCAGCACAGGAAAGAGCAGAGAGCAGCATACAAGTCCGAGGCGGCCACCCCCCCCCCCCTCAATCACGCACTCGCTCGACCCCTTGAACTCGAAATACACAAAGAGGCTCGGCCAGGGGGCCATCCCAGCAAGGAAGTGGACGCGGAAGCCGCAAGACGCATGGGTGGGTGAGAAGCCGGTTAGGTGGATGTCATGCTCAGGGGCAAAACCCTCAAGCATCACTCCGAGGCCGGAGATACTCGTCACACCCATGAAAGAAAATAATGTGTAGCGCCTGCGACCACCAGGGAGAACGAGATAAGCCTCCGCCCGTCCATGTGTTACTCCGTAGCGCGGCTCATCCTCTGACGCTTGAACAAACTCGTGAAGGTCCCAACTGGGCGAGCTACTTTTTCTTCGGCATCTTGGGGGTTGCCTTCTGCTTGTCGCTTTTTCTGAAGGCGAGCTCCTCTATCTGCTTGGCTACCTTTGAGCGCTGCCCGTGGTCGTGTCCCAGAAGTACGCGGGCGGCCTTGAGCGAGCCGTTGGTCCTTAGGACGGTCAGCGCCGACTTCAGGTCTGGGTGATGGTTGACCGCCATAATCGAGCGAACTTGGTCTTCGGCTCCTTCTGTCAAGTTGACCTTGAAGAATCTCGTCGCGCGTACGATCACGTCTATGTCCTAAGCGATGGACCCCCACTGCTTCAGCACCTGCTACCTCCATTGCGTTGCCCGTGTAGGCTTCGGCGACGCGGAAGATCACGCTCCTCAGGAGCGCGTCTGGCTTCTTCCCGAGAGGGTGTCCCTGGAAGTTCTCGCCTTCCCGCGCGGCTTTGCCTGTCACGATGTAGTTCTGGAGGATTTTCCTCCAGCGCCATCTCGAGTTTCGTGCCGACCCTGAGGGTGAGGGTGAAATTGTCGTCCCTCGCGTCCGCTTGGTGGGCTGCCTCGACTTTTGCTTCCGCCGGCTTCCGCCGGCGGAGGCGGCCTGGTTTTGCTTCCGCCGCCTTCCGTCGCCCTAGAATGCTGGATTGCGCGGTGATGGAGTGTTAGATTGCGGGGCTGTTACCTGGTAGGGCTTCTGCAAGTTTCAACATGTGATCCCCCCTCCTCATTGCGCGCAAACGCCAGAAACCACCCCCAGTGAGGCGGAACAAGACCGCCCTACGAAAGCTCCAAGAAGGCCTCGCGACCCAGCCTGGCGGCCAAGGCTCCAAGATGTCCCCCAGAAGCGTGAAGAGGCGCAAGCCTCCGTGACGACGCAGGGCTCCAGCGAAAATCAAATCCGCCGACCCTGTCGGCGTGTGTGAGGGGCTTTTCCGTTCGAGCCGTCATCTCCGTCATTCTTTGTACTCGTCGTCTCTGTCCTTCCCTTTCCCTGGGAGACCTCTTCCCCTGGGCTCCAGCCAAGCCGACCTTGAGCAACCTCGTAATTGAGTCGAAGGGAAGCCCCTTCCCTTTGATCCCTCCCCCGCCGGGAGGGGGGGGGGGGTAGCGACCCCCCCCCCGGGTCAGATACGACGCCCCCCCCTGGGACTCCTCTTCCCCTGGGCTCCAGCCAAGCCGACCTTGAGCAACCTCGTAATTGAGTCGAAGGGAAGTTGAGCGAAGGCTAGCCGACCTTGAGCCTCCGGGAAGATCCCTCCCCCGCCGGGAGGGGGGGGGGGGTAGCGACCCCCCCCGGGTCAGATACGACGCCCCCCCTGGGACTCCTCCCCCTGGGCTCCAGCCGACCTTGAGCAACCTCGTAATTGAGTCGAAGGGAAGCCCCTTCCCTTTCATCCCTCCCCCGCCGGGAGGGGGGGGGGGTAGCGACCCCCCCCCCGGGTCAGATACGACGCCCCCCCCTGGGACTCCTCTTCCCCTGGGCTCCAGCCAAGCCGACCTTGAGCAACCTCGTAATTGAGTCGAAGGGAAGCCCCTTCCCTTTGATCCCTCCCCCGCCGGGAGGGGGGGGGGTAGCGACCCCCCCCCCCCGGGTCAGATACGACGCCCCCCCCTGGGACTCCTCTTCCCCTGGGCTCCAGCCAAGCCGACCTTGAGCAACCTCGTAATTGAGTCGAAGGGAAGCCCCTTCCCTTTCATTCCTCCCCCGCCGGGAGGGGGGGGGGGGTAGCGGGGGGGGGTAGCGACCCCCCCCCGAGTCAGATACGACGCCCCCCCCCCGTACCGACCTTGAGCAACGTCGTCATTGAGTCGAAGGGAAGCCCCTTCCCTTTCCCTTCCCCGACGGGGGGGGGAGAGGAGGTCCCGGGGGGGGTCCCGGGGGAGTCCCGGGGAAGTCCCGGGTCAGATACGACACCTCCCTCCCCCACCTTCTCGTCCTTCTCCCCGTTCCCCCAAACCATCCCACAGCCCGTGCCTCTTGCTGCGCATTGCGAACAGGGTCGGCGGCACCGGCCGTCAGGCCTTCGCAATATACCGGAAATCATTTCTGTTTTGATTCCGATGCGGTTCCGCCCACGATCGCCCAGGGAACCCTTTATGAGCATCAAGCTTCAAAAAGACCCCAAGACGGCCCAAGAGAGCCCCAAGACGGGCCCAGGATGGCTCGAGAACCCCCCAAGGCGGCCCAAGACGGCCTCAAGAGAACACCAATACGGCGCAGAAGCCCATCCAGACGTACGACGGCCCCAAGGGGTCTCCAAGACGTTCCAAACGAGACTATGAAGGCGAGCTCGACATGACCATCGCTCTCAAGACGTCCACGAGGATCCGAGACGTGCCCCCAACGGGTCACCCAGAGGCCCCCAGAAGGCTACGAAGAGGCTGCGGAGAGGCCCCCTGGAAGCCACCAACATGAAAGAAGAAGTGAAGAACGAGGCTGTGAGCATGGAGGGGGCGTCAAGATTCCATTCAGCTCAGGCAGGGCACCGAACTGGAGCTGGTATTAAACTCAGCCTCCTTCCTGGTGCGCTGCTGCGCTCGCGTCATGGCGGGGTTTGCCACGGGTAGCTGGATTTCCCATGCCGTGAGAACCCGTGGACCCCCGCATGCCCCAGCGGGACTGCCAGTATGGCCATCGACCCTCTTGCACCGAAAGAACTAGAGCCTCCGAGGCAAAGCCGACTGTGAACATATCCCAACATCCCTGAACATATCCCAACACCCCGAACCGTTCGACGCACGGAGAGGGAAACAGAGCTCGTACCTGGTGAGGCTGCGTGCCGATGCAGAGGTCGGAAGACGGCGCCTCTGACCGCCCGGAGCGAGCAAAGCCCACAAAGAGCGGCACGAGGACCGCGACGCCCAGAGCACCAGGGCCGGCTCTTCTCCGGAGGCCTCCAGGGGCCTCCGAGGCCCTGCGGGGGCCTCCCAGGGCCTCCGAGGGCCGACGGCTTGCCCCCCACCCCCACCCCCACCAGCCGCCTCCCTCCTCCCTCCTCCCTCCGCCCTCCTCCCTCCTTCCTCATCCTCCTTCCTCCTCCCTCCTCCCTCCTCCCTCCTCCCTCCGCCCTCCGCCCTCCGCCCAGGCCCCCCCCCTCGGGGGTGCCCAGGAGTGCCCTCCAACAGCCGCGCGGGCCGAGGGCGGAGCCTCACACGAGCGACGAGGGGAAACGCGCCCCGCGCGGGAGGGCATGGCTTCGGTGGCAACTCGCGGGAGCCTCCCGTGTCGTCTTGCTCATCGACGCGAAACCGACGCTCGTCAACGCTGAGTCGACGCTAGATCAACACCAGATCGCCGCTCACCAACGCTCAATCGACGCTCAATCACAGCTACATCGAGCTCCTGCGGACCGACGCGGAATCGACGCTAAATCGACGCCGCATCGGCGCTTCCCCATCGACTGCCAGACGCTACATCGACGCTGGTGCACCCGGAGGACGCAGCTGCGAAGACGTGTCGAGGCTCCCACGAGCGTGCTGCACTGAGCACGGCGGCCTCACGTCGCGGCTCACGCGGGCCGCCGACGCGGCACGCCACGCTGGCGCACGAGGGCGCTCACGCGCGGCCTCACGCGGGCAGCTCACGCGCGGACGACCGCGCAGCCGGCTGCCGCAGGCCGACGCGGTGCCGCATCGACCCACTGGGGGGGCGCCCCGGGGCCAGGAGGGAGATCGAGAGGCAGAAGCAGGGGAGAAGGAGGACCACTAATTAGCCAGGGACAGGAGGAAGTGCGACCGGGCGCGGCCCGAGCGACCCCCAGCAAGCCATCCCCCTCCGTGACGTCACCCTCGCCTTTCAAGCTCCCCCGCGGCTGCGTGCATACGCCCTGGGGCGAGGCGAGGGGGATATCACGGAGGGCGGTAGTTTGCTAAGCACGGGTCGGCTGGGCCGCCCCTGGACACCCCTCCCCCCGGAGGGTGCCCAGGAGTGCCCCCCTCCGACCGTGTGGCCGAGGGAGGAGCAGCAGCCCACGGCGGACGAGGCCCTGCGGCTGCACGAAAACCCGGCTCGGCCTGCTGGCAGCGCAGCTGGAGGCCTCCCAGATGGGGTCCGAGTAGATGGGATCGGAGAATCGCGACGCATCGCCCGTGCATCGCCCGTGCATCGGCGATACGTCGGCGACGCATCGCCCGTGCATCGGCGACGCCGGCGCGGAGAAGGTCGGGCTCCACACCGAGCCGCATCGCCGATGCATCGGCGATGCGGCGCGATCCTCCGGCCCGACCTGCTCGGGCCCCATCTGGGAGTCCTATAGAGGTTCTTGGGCGAGGACGCTGGCGACCGGCAGCCGGCGGCAGTGGTGCAGCCGCGCCAGTGCTGTCGGCCCGGCCGGCGGTCCACCGGCGGCGGCGCTCGTCCGACGACAGGGCGACCCCCCGCTGCCTCGCTCACGAGCAGCGAACGTATCCACATCCACGCCCTCGCGGTCTGGACTCCGGGGCGCGGTCCCGCGGATACGCGGTCGCGCAGATGGGTTCCGCGACCTCGCGAGACAGCACCCCGCATCCGCGGGGTCGCGGTCCAGGGGACCGGCCCGCGAGGCCGCGGATGCGGACACGTGTCTTCGCCCACGACGATCGCGCTCTATTGGGAGGCAACGTCTGGGAGGTCCTCGCAAAGGCGATTGAGGGCCATCAAGCCCGATGAAGGGGCCATGCACCCAGACTAGCCAAGAATAGGCCCAATATTAAACCAGATTTAACGGGATAAAGCTGGATTAGGCCGGTTTTCGAGCAAGGATATCCCAGCGCCGGTGCTGAGTGCAACCTCCCAGGAGTTGCATCCGAAGTTCCCCCCTGGAGGGCAAGAGAGCGGGGACCATGACCAAGACTGAACGCGGAAACGTCGTGCCGATCTTGGTCACCGGCAATCTCGGTCAGCGTCGGTTCGTGGATCATCCTCGCGAATCGGCATCGACAAGATCGCGCGACGTCTCGGTCATGGTCCAAGTGCTCCTCCCCTCCCGCCCCTCTCCCAGGTCACCAGGCCTCGAGCCGCGCTCTCTCTCTCTCTCTCTCTCTCTGGCCCGGACCGCGAGACGCCCGTCTGCTTCTGCGCCCCCGCGGGGGGGCCAAGCACGTCCACCTCCCCATCTCTCTCCCCATCCAGAGGAACAGCAAAAAGAAGCATAGACATGAACTTTCGGAGCTCTGCGCGGACCTCCTGGAGCGCGACGGGGGCGGCGCGGGAGGCGCCGCCACCGCGGGGGGGGGGGCTCCCCGCACTGATCCAGAAAAGCCCCGCGGCGCTCCGAAAGTTTATGGCTCGTGCAGTCTTCTGTGCTTCGCCCCTCCCTGCCCCCCCTCCCTCCCCTTCCCTCCACAGAAGGCTCTCCCCCCCGCACCCTGTGCGCTCCTACGCTCAGCTCGCGGCTCACTCCGGGACAAGTCTCTCGAGGGGCTTGAGCGTCTTGCCCTTCACGATGGAGCCCCACCCGATCAGCCGCCAGTGCTTCTCGATCCTGCGGCTCAGCGCGACCTTGTCGCCCTCCTGAGTGCACACGGCGTTCGTCAGCACGATCTGCCCAGCAAGCCCCCCCTCTGACTCCACCCACCCTTCCCTCCCCCAACATCCCTTTCCCGTCCTCCCTACCCCACGTGTTCCATCACCCTACCCCCCCCTTTCCCCGCACCCCTCTCCCTCCTGCCAGCCCCCCTTTCCAGTCCCACCACCCCTTTGCCCTCCACTCCCTGCTTTTGCCTTCCGCGCACCCCCCCCCAAACCTTGCCCACATCGTCATCACCGATGCTCACGATCCTGCCGCCCGCAGCCAGGGAGCCAATGTTCACCATGAGGATCTCTCCCTTTTTCAGCTTGGAGACCTTGCCCGCCTTGGAGTCCCCTTCCGTCTTAACGCCGAGCAGGCGGCGGAGGAGGTAGTACTTGACTTCGATCTCGATGTAGATGTCGGGCAGCTTGCCAGGGTGTCCCATGACGTGACCAAGCATGCGGTCGCCGCGCGTCTCGGTGGGGTCTATCTTGGTCCCCACGCCGATGAGGCCTCCCGGAACTGCGAACTGCAGCGAATTCTGCTCCGCTGCCAAGGATATAATCCGAGATCGGATCGGCTTGCACGTAGTATTGCCATTGGCGTCCTTGCCTGTGGTTCCAGGCCTGATCTCGATCTCGTCGCCGACCTTCAGCACACCCTTGATTATGGAACCACCGCACACACCGCCCTTCAGCTTTTCTACCTCCTCTCCAGGCTTGTTCACATCGAAGGACCGGATGATGATCATGTACGGACTGGACAGGAAGTCCCTGGGAGGAATGGGAACCTGCGTGCACAGATACTCGCAGACAACTTCGATGTTATATTTCAGGACAGCGCTGAGCGGGATGATAGGGGAGCTATCCGCGGCCGTTCCCGCCACGAATTTCTTGATCTCCTCATATTGAGCCTGCGCCTGCTGCTCTTTGATCAGCTCCACCTTGTTCTGAAGAATGATGATGTGCTTCAAACGCATGATCTCAACTGCGGCCAAATGCTCTGATGTCTGCGGCTGCGGGCACGACTCGTTCCCCGCGATTAAAAGCAGCGCGGCATCCATCACAGCAGCACCGTTGAGCATAGTTGCCATGAGAATGTCGTGTCCCGGGCAATCAACGAAAGACACGTGCCTCTGAAGCCTCCAATTGCCGCCTTCGTCATCTGGAACGACATCGGGCGTCTTGCTTCCAAAGGAGGTGTAGTTTGCAGGGCGCTCTAGGTCCTCGCGGTCGTTCTTGTAGATCTTCGCGTTGGCGTAGCCCAGCTTGATCGTGATGTTCCGCTCTTTCTCCTGCTTGAAACGGATTGTGTTGGATCCGCTCAGAGCTCGCACCACGGTAGACTTCCCGTGCGCCACGTGCCCGATTGTGCCGACGTTCATTGTCGCCTGCCTGCTGATCACCTCGGGCGACAGGGGCGTGAGCGTGGCAATGTCCAGCTTCGACAAGTCCTGAACAGCCAGGCCGTCATCCGCGTCGTCCACCGACTCCCTGTCGTCCTCCGGGTCTGCCATCGCGACCCTGACCCTGTGCCGCCAGTTTCCGCGGCCCGACCCCGCGGGGCCACGCCGGCCTGCGCCAGAACGGCTGCGAGCGCAAGGACTGAGAGGGGAGGGTTTGACCTGGGGAACGCGGAGGGGGACGGGGACGAAGACGAGGAAGAGGAATAGGAAAAGGACTTCTGGATGCGGAAGGGGAGGAGCAGCAGCAGAGGATCAGGAAGAGGACGAAGGACGATGGTGGGAAATCTGCGCGCATAAGTTCTTCAAAGAGGATGAGGATGAACAGCAGCAGGCGCATTGCGTTCCAAGGAGGAGGAGAAGAACGCAATGCCATATTTTGTGATGCAGTTTACCCCTTGCACTGCTGGGAGGACAGACTTGGGGGACCAGGGTGGGCAAGTAGCCTGGCTGCAAGCAGCCTGGCTGATCAAGAGCGAACTCTTCCAGTCATTTGCCTGGCCAAACCCCTCCGAAGACCAATTGCAGGCCAACCGCCCCGCCGAAGCTACCCTCAAGATAGGCGGGGAAGAAGGACCCGAGGCACCCCAGAGGCCTGAGCTGGTATCCGCGGCACCCGATGTCGCCAACACCTCGGTACGCCAAGAGGCCAATATTACGCCACAAATGGCACTGCTCAAATGCGTACCCCAAGGACAAAATCCGACAGTGGAAGGCCGTCGAAGAAAGGGTTCGCAGCCTGCACAGTCGCGTCATCGGATGCCGCGTCAGCTGCATAGAGAAAGCGCGTGTCCCCCGATGCTCGCGCCAAGATGGCACCCTTGAGACCGTTACAGAGGCCAGGGGAGATGTAAACCTCGTCGACAGGGAATGTGACCCAAAACCCACCTCTAAGACGAAACCAGGACGAAGATAAATTCGGGTGAGGATAAATCGATAATCTCTGAGATCCAGCGGCTCTTGAGGATGCATCGGGCGCCGCTGCCTCTTAAGAGCATTCCAGAACGCTCTGAGAGCGTTCCGGAGCACCCAGGAACGGATTTGTCCTCGTCCTGGCCCCGTCCGAACTCCCTCGTACCGCTGGGGCGTCACCACGCTGCCAGACGAGCAGGGCGGGAAGGCAACTAGGTCGAGCGTGTGACAGACGGCCGGGTCCAGATCAAGTTGGCACGCCGCCTCGAGGCAGCTCTGGCCCGCCCATACAGTTGCAGCGCCCACTGGCCAGACTGCTCGCTGAAGGAGTCTTTGACATTCAATTTGAAAACAAGCCCATCAAAAAGATCCCCAGACAACCCCCAGGACAACCTGGGCAACCCAGGCTGCTTCATGACGACAAGACGACCCACCCCGGACACCCCTTGGACAACCCAGCGGGGATCCGGACAACCCCACTGGACAGCCCTCCTTGGGCAAGCACCTCCGGGATTTCTCCCATACGACACAGTATCATGTTGGGGGCCTCGCCATTCTTTCAATGCGGGCGGAGAGGCGAAGACGACCGATCTGGGGGAGGATGGAGCAAGAGCAGCAGGGGCAAGAAACACCGAACTCGAAGGTTCGCGCAAGGACTCGAATCAGGTGCTACAGATGGGGGCAGAGAAAAGGAGGGAGGGAAGGGCTCTGGAGGTGCTGTGAGCTCGAGGCCAGTGCTATAGCCAGGAGATCGGCGTTCATTCGAATGGGGTGATCAGCACCGTGAAAATATGTGGGAAGAAATCATGCCTGCAGTATTCCTTGCCTTCTTCCTCACCTTCTGCAGGTGTGAGGAGGAGAAGGATGGAGGAGGAGGAGGAGGAGGAGGAGGAGGAGGAGGAGGAAAGAGGAAAGAGGAGAGAAAAATGAGGGAGGGAGGAGGGGAGGGAAGAGGGGAGGGAGGGAGGAGGAGGAGGAGGATGAGGAGGGAGGAAGATAGAAGGAAGAGGAGGGAGGGAGGAGGAGAGAGGGAGGATGGAGGAGGAGGAGGAGGAGGAGGAGGAGGAGGAGGAGAGAGGAGGAGGAGGGAGGATGGAGGAGGAAGAGGATGGGGGAGACAGGAGAGAGGGAGGAAGAAAAGGAGGAGGAGGAGGAGGCAAAAGAGGGAAGAGGAGGGGGAACGGAGGAGGAGACGGACGAAGAAAGAGGAGGTAGGGGAGATACGAGGAGGGAGGGTGGGAGGAAGGGACGGGGTGGGGAAGGAAGGAGGAGGAGGAGAATAATGGAGGAGGAGGGAGAAAGGAGGACGAGAGAGGAGGGAGGGAGGGAGGAGGAGGAGGACCAGTGCAAACCCAAGACCCAGCAATGATACTGCAATTCCTCATCAATGATTCTGCAATTAACACTCCCCCGAACTCCCTCTTCACAGGCTCCTATCAAGATCGATTTGCACTTCGGGAAGAGCCTTGTTGGAAGACTACCGTCTGAAAGTCTTCACCCGTACCAAGGCACCATGCCTGGGGCTTCGACGGCACGAATCAACGTTACGTGCGACCTGACGATCCAGAATCATGCCGGAACACCATCTCTGGGACGTCAGCACCGCGAATCAACGTGACAGTCGCGCCCTGAAGATTTTAAGTCGTGCCAGCTCATGGGGCGATAACCAGAAGAATCCTTGAAACTGGCGTAAAGCGATGAAACGAATATGCGCGGCGCGAAAGCGATAAACACATTTAAAAAAAGGACCGCCTTCCTTCCCGTGAAACTCTTGCAACAGATTAAAACGAAGGGGCGCGGCGTTCAGACGAGAGCCATAATTTGAAAACGGCCTGCCCTCCATCCTCCATCCGTGAAGCAATGGCAAAGTTCAAGCTTCAGGATCATAAACGGTGAGGAAGTCTCAGACGAAACGCCCGGTCCGCCCTACCGACCCGTCTCGGGGTCCGACAGGGAGGAGTTATTTACAAGTTAGGTGCGCTCGCGTCAACATGTGACATCCTACCCCTCCCTCCCATCCCTTACCATGGCGCTGATTTCCTCTATCCGCGGACGCGTGTCGTAGCGGACCTGTGGCTCCGCGCGCGTGTGCGTAGCGGATGGTGGTGCGCGTGCGTGCGTGCGTGTGTGCGTGGTTGTGGTTGTTGTGGTGGTGGTGTGTATGTGTGTGTGCGTGTGTGCGCGTGTGCTGTGGTGTGACGTGGTGTGGCGTCTTGGTGGTTTGGTGGTGGGCCAGGTGCGTACGTGCGTGATGGCGGTGGTGGTGGTGGCGGTGCTGGTGTGTGTGTGTGTGTGTGTCTGTGTGTGTGCGTGTGTGTGTGTGCGTGTGTATGTGTGTGTGTGTGTGCGTGCGTGAGTGTGTGTCTGTGTGTGCGCGCCTGTGATGTGGTGTGACGCGGTGTAGCGTGGTGGTGGTGGGTGGGGTAGTGCGGTGGTGGTGGCGGTGCGCGGTGGTGGTGCGCGTGCGTGCGTGCGTGCGTTGGTGGGTGGAAGTGGCGGTGGGTGTGCGTGCGGCGGGGCGGGGCGTGGTGCGGCGCGGTGGTGGCGGGCGGATGGGCGCGCGAGAAAGAGGCCCGCGCTGGGGCGAGAACGCCATCCTGAACGACGGAGGCAAAACACCGATCCGAAAATGAGGCCCACGCTGCAGCGGGAGCACGATTCGGAACGATTCGGGAGCAGAAATGAGGCCGGCGCCTCAGCGAGAGCAGCATTGAAAAAAAAACGCAGGCGAAAACCCAACTCCCGGGAATCCTGTGTGTAAAAAACAAGTACGCGGGGGGGGGGTCTACTACTCCCAGCACGCCATCAGGGGAGAGGAGAGGTAGAGTAGTATTCACATTGAGTAACTGTATACGGAAAAGGGATGGAATCCCTGGCTGCGGAACCTCCTCCTCCTCCTCCTCCTCCCTCCTCCTCCTCTCCTCCTGTTCCTCCTCCTCCTCCCCCCATTATTCCCTCCTCTCCTACTCCTCCTCCTCCTCCTCCTCTCCTCCTCCTCCTAATATCATCATCATCTCATCCATCATCATTCATCATCATCATCATCATCATCATCATCATCATCATCATCATCATCATCATCATCATCATCATCATCATCATCATCATCATCATCATCATCATCATTTCCGTTGGCGTTTGTCCTCCCACCTGGGCCTCCCTGGCTGCCTCCCCCGCGGAGCACCGCCCCCGCCTCTGACTCCGCCCCCCCCCCCCCTCCCCCCCCCTCTGGGCCGCGCGACCCTTCCATTTCGCTGCTGTTCGTCCTCCCTGGGTGGAGGATGGAGGGTGGAGGATGGAGAAAACGAGGGAGGGAACGAGGGAGAAGGAAGGGAACGAGGGAGGAGGGAGAGATTGAGGCAGGAGGGAGGGAACGAGGGAGGGAACGAGGGAGGGAACACGGGAGGAAGGGAGGGAGGGAGGGAGGGAACGAGAGAGGGACGGAACGAGGGAGCGAAGCAGCGAGGAGGACGAAGGCCCCCCTCCGCGGGCCTCCCCCGCGGCGCGCCGCCGCTGCGGCCCCACGGCTCCCGGCCGCCAGCCGCGGCGGCGGCTCGGCCGCCGCAGACGACAGGCCGCTCCCAGCCCCTGCCCCGCTCCCTCCCTCCCTCCCATCCGCTCCCTCCCTCCCTCCCTGCCTCCCTCCCTGCCTCTCTCCCTCCCTTCCCCCCTTGCCTCCCTCCCTTCCCCCCAGATCCCCTCCCCACCCTCCCTCAAACCCATCCCCTCCCTCGTCCCATCGTTCCCTCGCTCCCTCCCTCCATCCATCCATCCCTCCGTCGCTGCTGGCTGCAGCTGTCGCGGCGGGAAACCACGCCTGGCTCAGCTTCGCAGACAAGCCTCTTGCCCAGGAGCTCGAAACGTTGCCCTCCCCACGCAAACCCACACGACCAACCTCCTTCCCTCCCTCCCCTCTCTCCTCCTTCCCTCCCTCCCTCTCGCCGTCCCTCCCTCCCTCCCTCGTTCCCTCTGTCCCTCTCTCTCTTTCTCTCTGGTTATGTCTTTCTGTGTGTATGACCCTATTTATTATATGTATGTGTGCCGGCACATATATATATATATAATATATATATATATATATATATATATATGTATCCTCCGCCTCCTCCTCCTTCTCTCCTCCCCTCCTCCTCCTCCTCCTC